TTTATACAACTTTTCAGTAAAATCAGACGTTTTGATTGGTTGGCTTTCGTGTGTTATCAAAGTATAGATACACGGATTACGTCAAAACTAATTGTTTGTTGTATAAAACAGATAGATCTCATTTTTCCGTGCGTGTGTACTCTAATAGATACACAGATGACGTCAAAATGTAGTGAGAACAACAGTCACGCACTCGACTGCGTCTCGTGCGTACTTTTTTGTTCTCACTACATTTTGACGTCATCTGTGTATCTATTAGAGCACACACGCACGGAAAAATGAGATCTATTTGTTAAATATATTTTTGTGACGTCACATGAAACCCAAGAATAGATGAAATCATTATCAATGCACACACACACAATTTTAATTAATCAACACAATGATGTAACTATTTTAATTTAAAAAAAAATTTGATAAATCAATGTGTGCTAAAAATTAGTGCTAATCTTTGATAGAACAACTTTCATTTTTCAGGCTGAATGTATTCTTATATAAATGGTACTTTATTTCCTAAAATCAGGCCTGGGTGTTCTTAATCCACTTGTTCTTATACGCGGGTTTTCAATAACATTCAGTTGCATCGGTGTACTAAGTTAAACTTCCATGAACTTTTTCAGCGCAGCAATGTGGATTTTGATTTTTTTGTTTTGTTTTAAGAATAACGAGAAGTTTCATAATATACACTTTTACAGTCCGCTATTACAGACACCTTGGAAGCCACTTTTCAGTAATTTGTATTTTTCGCATTTGTATTTCTCTCCGTACGTAATATAGAGATTTCCGTAATAGAGGGTTACCCATAGTACAAAGGTTTACAGTACAACTGCAGAAACCTTGTCATTGAGAAAATTATGGATATTTGTACCTTCACAAATCATTCAAAAAAAACATTTTTCAATTCTTTTTGTACTTAAGTCTTTTTGTACTTAAGTACAAATATTCTATTTGTTTAGAGAAACAACGTTCGTTTTACATCTATTAGCTTGTATGTTATCTCAATATAACTGAACTGATGACTGTTTATACGATTTAGAGGTTAACCGGTCTAGTATCTTGTTTTCTTTGTTTTCTTTTACACGGGAGATTAAATTTGCTTGTGTTAAATGCTTAAAGCCTATCACGCTAAGGATCCCACGCTAACTGAGTTTCATGTCAATGTCAGGTTTGGTGTCAGGATTCATCAAGYTATTAGCTTTTCACTTGCCAGCATTAAACTCATTGTTACTCTATCTTTTTCTCTCTCTGCACCACTGAATAAACGTCACAGCAACGGCAATGTTTTCACGCGTCGGAAATCGACTATACAGGCAGTTTTATAACCTTGCATGACAGGCGGTTTTCAATAAACGTTTCATGGTTTCTCCCAAATCCAAAGCACGAAAGTCCATTCAAGTTAAAAATTATACGAATTCTTAGTATAAACATTCATCATACCTGCTCTTTACCTTCGGTGTTCGTTGTTTAGTGTGAGGCTTTCAATACTTTCAGTCTTTCGCGCTCTCTTTTGGCAAGCTATACTGACACGCATCAAGTGTACAGTGTCAGTGCTGTTTACATATTTCCCTGCCTTAAGTTTGTGGACCTTTTTGTTCTATTGCCAATTGTTGTTTTATTGCAAACACCACGGATCACTTCACTCGATCCTAATTGTCCCAGTATAATGATGTTTTGCTTATAACGCCCCAAATTGTTTTGGGAATATTTACGTGGGCTTCCTGTGGAAGCTCACGTCTTAAAATGCAAGTGGACTTTTCTCCAATTGGTACAATCTCGTACCCAGATTCAAACGATCAAAATATTTTCAAAGTTTAACAATACTGACAAAACTGCAAAGACTGTACCGTTTCTATTATTTATATGACCTTTCAGGTCAAATTTATTTAAATCTCACGTTTTTGCATATTTTGAATAATCTAAACGCTGTTAGAGTGTAAAGTCGGGCTAGCTATTTTGGAAAACTGAGAAAGACAGGATATAAGTTACTTAGAGTAAACAAAATATGATGTAGTAAATAGCGTATATTAACTTAATTATGTCTTGACTTCTTCAAACAAAGACTATATCGTGAAAATGAAATACCCTGTCGCAGCCACAGTAAGCCCACGTAAGCGATCCATGATCGTCTAGTTCCTCATTGTTGAAGTATGAGAGAAATGTTGTGTTTCGCTATACAATACATGTCTGCTTATTTAATTTCTTGAAGAAATTTTGACTTACCGCCAACCAAGTTAATACATCAATGCGTTGGTTTGCTGATAAACATTCGTTTTCTTAGAAAAACGGGCAAAATACACACAGCAAAATTCTGAGAAGTCGGTATCATAAAAGCAACACGCTCTAATAGAGCGCGAACTCGTGAAGACGCAAGGTTTATAGAGAAATTTGAACTCATATTGATGTTTTCATTTCATACTATATTGTTTGACTCCCCGTAGTTATAGTAGTAGGGAATCCGGGGTAAAAGTACGTGGGATGCTCGTCGGATCTTTTAGAGGTTAAAAGGTTTGTGATTGGGCATCTTTTAGACTGCCAATTTGCAGTTTCTGCAATCTCTTACGATGTCCGAAAAGACTAAGAAAAAGGGCGCATCGATATTGATTTTCCTCTGCCGTATGTTTTGTCATTAAATATTTGATACATTTATCATTGGAACTCATTTAATTTAACAATATTTGTTGTGCAATCTCTTAGGGGTTAAAAATCAGTCAGCCACGCCCTTTTTTCAAGACTTCCGGGATCTTTTAGGGGTCTTTATGAAAATTTCCGAAAAGCATCCCCGGTACTTTTATCCCCCCCCCCCCCCCCCCCCCTCCCCCGGGATGTAGTCTACTAGTTATTTTACGGTTTTTAATAACTTAAAAGTTTATAACGACTATACTGGTTTTCCCCCACAGATAGTCTAGGAGATTGCACTAAAGGATGGATCCATGTAAACTCGTATTGCTACCATATATCTGAAAAGACTTCCTGGACTTATGCAAATCAGGACTGCAAAAAGAAAGCATCCACATTGGCAATCATTGATCATAAAAGCACAATAAAACTTCTTGGCCAAGAGCTTAATACCCTTCTACCATCTGGRRSSGTTCAGTTGTTCATCGGTCTACAATATTTACCAGAGTTTCGATGGACCGACGGGAATCCGATCGATAAGGGATTGTGGTTAAAGGRTTACCCAAAAGTGAATGAAGCACTTAGTTTACAATGTGTCGTTCTTTATCTAACTTCTTTTGGCTGGCGTCTGATGCAGTTAAATTGCAWGACGACCACCAGGAAAGTGATGTGCGAGACGGACAGACGTAAGTTATGGTWATAACTAGTGTACAAATCAGGGCATTCATGGAAAGCAGGAATTTATTTCATTTAACTATAAGTGTTGTAATGTAGTCACAGTGGCGGATCTAGGATTTTTTTAAGGAGRGGAACCTGGAGGAAATCAGTTTCAAATTTTTTCGTTACGTTCTATTTTTCTGTATGCTACAGCCTTAGGTACGTTTTTTGAGTATTTCTAAGCTCCCCTTCCCTGGATCCGCCCCTGGGTTCACGTCTTGTCTGGCTTTTATGCAAAAGCATGACCACAAGAGCCTAGCAAACCTACATTTGTATTCTTAAGGAACTCTATTGTTACCTGGCGACAGTTCGTGTTCAACTTCATAGGTAGACAACCCTTTTAGCAGTCTTGAGCTGTACAACTATATACTGACTTATTCGTGTTATTTTTCAGAAAATCAAGCCTACAAAAGCACAACATTTTCTGAATCAGATGCTGAATTTGGCCACCATTCCTATGCAGTTGACGGGAATTATGCATCGTGCTTCCAGACAAAACAGGTCAAGGGCCTTTTTTTAATTACTTAGCTAGTTTGTGAATTATAAATAGCTCGAAATCTGCTCATAGAAGTCAACAATGAACGAATGTAACACAATTTACGAGTTATTCAGTTCTGACTACGGGTCACGAGTTATTCAGTTCTCAATATGAGTTACGAGTTATTTAGTTCTCACTACGGGTCACGAGTTATTCAGTTCTCAATATGAGTTACGAGTTATTTAGTTCTCACTACGGGTCACGAGTTATTCAGTTCTCAATATGAGTTACGAGTTATTTAGTTCTCACTACGGGTCACGAGTTATTCAGTTCTCAATATGAGTTACGAGTTATTTAGTTCTCACTACGGGTCACGAGNCTTTGTGATCTTGCTATRCAGGGTATCCTCTCCTGAGTGTCCTGCACACTCCCTGAAGAAAATCCTGGATTAACCCCTACTACCGTTAGCAAACTGTTCTACCCTTGCAGCTAGCCACAAACCTAAAGATCGATGAACCCAACATTACTGCCTATTGATAGCTACAATCGTTGACAAAATCCCTGCACCATTTCAGAATTTCCTCATTTTAAGCAACAACCGCAGACAATTTCATCCCCGCTAAACTTGCTTAATGCAAAGTTGTCATTGACATGTTGCCATAGTACACAACCATCCAAAACAAGACCCAACGCCATTGATGAAAGGGGGCTAAAAGGGAGAACTGTGAAAAAAAGAGAAGAAAAATTTTAGACTGGAGACAAGTCTACGGTCCAAGGTTTTTTTGCAATGATTGTAGCTACCCACCAGCTGGGCTCCGCAAGGCTTCCTTCCAACATTTACCCGCATAGTATGACGGATCATAAAATTACTATCAGAAAAAAACGTGCAAACCTTAATACAGGAATATCCACTTCGTAGTTTTATAACAGCATAAATGATGAGCATTATAAAAGTGTGCGTTAAATGGCAACTAAGGCCCGTTAAATATTACAAATCCAATAGATTGTTTTCATCTCAGAGGCTTTTCATCTCATATATTCAACAAACTCACTGGATACTAATGTCACAAAAGTCGTAATGTCGTAACATTAACGTCTTGAGTTTACTGTTAAACCTTGCTTTAAAGCCACGCCTGTGCCACGATTCTTGCAGTAAGAGATCACCAGAATAATTTTCGGTTTTACAGGTCATTCATGCGATGCTCTAACTCAGTTTAGCTGTACCAATGGTCAGTGTATTGATAAAGGATTAGTGTGTGATGGCGATGCTCTTTGTACCGATGGATCAGACGAGAAGGACTGTCAATGTTCGTCAAATGTGTTTTCATGTCCTAATGGTGAATGTTTGAAACCAAGCCAGCTATGCAATGGAAAAAGGGACTGTGAAAGCGATGGATCAGATGAACGAAATTGCGGTAATTCAGCTCCTTTTGTAACTACAATCCTAAACATTCTACGTGAAAACCATAGTTTGTAGAGGGAAATGGTAGGAAGACTTTTGTTGTAGGTTTTTGTGGATCATTTTTTTTTTTTTCCAAGTCGTGACAGTGCACAATCTTTTATTTAACAATTGTTTAGCAAGCCACACTAGTCACATGTGATTGAACGAAGCGAAAATTATTATTTTGACTATTTTTAAACCAATATTGAAATATTTCMTAATTTCATAGAGGGTGTTTTTTTGTTTTCACTCATTTCGCAATTTTCATCATCCGTAAGATATCGATATTGATGACTGCACGGTCTTGACTGATTCAACCTCAAGATACATACAAAAGATGTACAAAACAAATACAACAAAAGGTTTCCAAACCATTCCCCTCTATTAACTATGGTAAAAACACAACAGCTTGTCCCCTGGCACCTGTTTCCCCCTCGCAATGTTGCTTCTATTTCCATCTTATGATCATTGCTGAGTGTAATAACATCAATTACAATATAACATTGTAGGTGGGTGGGAGGGAAAGTGAGATGAGGGAGGGAGGGTAATTCAGGCATTAATTTTACCCTGGTAAAACATTACAACTTTGATGTTGAAGTATTTTGTCTATGGTTGTAGAGCTGACACCTTTTTCTAGAAATTCTTCGGGGTTTTTAATTAATAATAGGCCTTTTGCATGAAACGATCACATGGTACTACATCCATCATGCTGGGTAGCAAATACCCACTGGGATGTTCAAAACAAATGAAAGTCAAGCTTGACGGGCTGCGTTTCTTTTGTTGTTGAGGTTGTTTASTAGTCCAGTCGCTGTCCCCTTCCCTTTTGCTCCTCTGTTTGTTTTGTCACCGAAGAGAAATTTAAGCGAAACAATGAATAGGGGCCAGCAGCGACTGGACTAGGTAGTTTACATGCTTTTGCCATCCAGTATGACGGATTTAGTACCATGTGACCGTTTCATGCAAAAGACCTATTTAGCAAGAATGACTGACTGATATCTTATCTGCTAGCGAGGAAGTGTCCAAAAGACGATTTCCAGTGCGTTAGTGGTGACTGCGTTCCGATGTATCTGACTTGTGATGGTCAACGTCAGTGTATYGATGGATCAGATGAGCCCGATATGTGTGGTTAGTAACCGGCTGCATTGGAGGTTGATTAGCAGTTTCCTAAGGGAGGGRTCTAGGGCGTGTTCACCACCGATATTACATAACCATATATGAAACACTGGAAAAATCATTTACATGGAAATCATTTACATCAAATTTACAGAATTTTGGACACTTGCATCATATTTACATCTAATTTACAAACTTTAAAGCGCGCGATTTTTTCCAGTGAAATGTAGAAACAAACATGTTTGATTCTTATTTGGCCATGCCCTATAACCCCCCTTTCGTTTCAATATATAATGCAATGTATTTCTCATAAATTAGGGATTCATTATAAAATGGTATCGTTGCGGCTATTATTGCTATTTTATCTCTCCTTTTTCCTCTCGTTTAGGCTTCTCCAAATGTCCTTTGAATAACATTACCTGTGCGTCCCAAAGTAAAACATCTTTTGACCAACATTGTGCTTATTGGAATGGTAAATAAACTCTTGAATTCTTATACTCTTAGGCTCTTAAAGTCTGCTGTTTTGTGTGTCTATTATTGGTTCGTCTATTGGAATGGACACTGACTCGTCCCCAGTCGTCCATCGCGCCTTTTTTTCTAGTGTCTCGAAAAGCTTCATGGGAAGGAGAAAGAGAAGAGTCTGATGCTTTCCCTTGATCCTTTTCGCGCGCGAGATAGGAGAGAAAGACTGGGGACGAGTCAGGGATGGACAGGAAGCCCGGCAAAAGGAGAAGAAGACTCGACTTGTTCAAGCGAAGTCACTAAATCAATGAAATAGATATAGCTAATGTATAGACCTAATCGGCTTCAACTCAATTCAAACCAACCGGGAGTAAGTTTCATTTTTCATATTGTAAAAGTTCTTTTTCCCACACGATTTGAATTGGGTGGCAACGTACATAGCAACGCCGATTAGGTTTATTGAGTTCAAATTCAAAGACATATCCTCTATTTCTAAATATTTTACTCTTTATACATATAGTTCATTGCGATTTCGATGAAGGAAGCTTATGCGGTCTGACAAAAGAGATCAATGCTAGCTTTGATTGGCTGCCTCGCTCGGGGACGACTCCAACGAGAAATACWGGTCCTGATTACGATCATACAACTCTAGGGAATAAAGGTGAGTTAGTTGACCATAACTTTACACCTCAGCTAGAAAAAACCTCGTGTGCATATACTGGAAAGGCCCATGCTGGAAAACATATAGAGAATATCTTCTTCACCGTAATAGCAACAATATCGATTACCGCGTTGACTTACTCGAAGCTTGGATTAAAATAAAAATGCATGACGGGACATCACGTGGCAACAAATTACTGAGCTGACAAGTGCAAAGCATGGATGGACATGACATGGCAACCAATCACATCAACAGTACTGTTCTTACAAGCGATGAATAAAAGACGCGCCCAAAAATCAGTTTACATCTTTGTCTGTCGCCTTTTGTCAGTAGCACGAACTTGGCAGTACTTCGACAATGATATATTTCCATCGTCGAGAGATAAATAATTGAGTATCCATTGAGTCATTTATATCTTTTTTAGGGATATTTCTCTACCTTGAGGCCTCCGACAGGAATCCTGGAGAGAAGGCAATTTTGTCAACTGACTTTCTGTTTGGTGGTCGACCAGTCTGTGTTCGTTTCTGGTACCACATGAATGGTTACGACATTGGATCCCTTAACGTATATTACAAAACCAATCAAAGTCAAGTGTTGTTATGGCAACGCTCAGGTCACGTGGGTMATCAATGGCTRTTTGGACAAACGACCTATAACACGACAGAAACATTCAAGGTACTGGAAAAGAGATCTTAATATCTCTATGATCGAAAACATTTAATGACAATTGTTTCGTCAGTTGTGGATTTTATTTCACTGTTATCAAACATCTTATTGACCAGTCGTTGTACAATACAAGATTACGTTCGAATCCTATCGAAGAAGCTACATTGTTATGAAACGCTTATAATGATAAAAAAGTACAAAAACGATTTGATATTTATCTAGTGACTCGGCAGCGTCTAATAATCCTGCTCTATTGTACTTGTTTTTCATTTAGAGCTTGCTGCAACTTGATTTCTTCTTCTTTTGTTTGTTTGATTGTTGTTTTTTTTCTCTATGTCTATTTGTTGTTGTTTGGTATTTTCTTTTTTTTCGCATAATGTATTTTTTTAATTTACCAGATCGTCATCGAGGGTGTGGTAGGATCTGGTGCTTTAGGGGACATAGCTATAGACGACCTGACCATATCTTATGGGCGATGTCAAAAAATATTGCATCAAGGTATGTAGTACACTCAAAAAGAAAAAATATGCTAACGTGAAAACGCACACAATAATATACTGACAAAATAAAACCGTTCGATACTATGTACTTATTGACTGAGTGGGAGGGCCGTACGGGAAAATCATTTTATCATATGGCAGAGTTTTTTAATGTAAGAAAAAATAAATAAAAGCGCGCGGAACTTCGAGCCGGGAAAATACGGGTTTGTACGGCCCCCATCACTTGACCATTTCCCAAAGGTTTTTTAAGAGCGCGCGTAGGGCTGAAATACGGGTCATATGATAAAAATACGAAGACAATAGCAACAACGAAAGATAAAACAAAACTACATCAAAACTAAAGCCCAACATATCCACAAATAGAATCATTCTGGCACGAAAGGATATAATGCAAGCCAAATGAACAGGAATCGGAAAAATTAACTTGTAAATTTGGTCATCTTTTTTTTGTAGAAAACCCGTCGTGTTACTTTGAGCAAGATTTCTGTCAATGGAAAGTTAGTCAAGGTTGGAGTCTATCTCGTCCAGGAGCACGACCTCTACYTTATGACTGGAATGGAACTCTGGGTAATAGTGAGAGTCATTATGTCAAGTCTTGCCAATCTTGGTCCCAGGTCCTTTTCCCCAAACRAAGGGAAAGGGGTCCCGGAACGAGGTTAATTATAACAAAATGAAAATCGAGGAAATGTATTGATGATCATCAAGATAAATTAAAGATCTTTCCAGATCCACTGTAAAATAGCTGTATTTGGAAGCTAATGATAAATCTTAAAGGCACAACATGAACCACGATGCTTTGCGCGTCTCTGTTATTGTTATGATATGTAAAAGAACGAGGCATCATGTGTCATTCGCCTGTCAAAAACGACATGGTTATGCTGGATGTTCTTGTTATCGACTGCAATGACAATTTTTGCGAGAAAATATCTTGTTTATAACTWCTCGCTGTGCTCATGGATCCACTTTAGTTTTGAACATTTCTTGACGTCAAGAGTGTGTCAATAAGAGGACATACAACAAAAAACCGTACGCAATTTGTTTTTACCACATTTTTAGTCTAAATATTAGCGAATGACCATTCTTTACTTTCAATTGAGCACGCGCGCGAGACGTGATGGTGTCAGGACAGTGTGCATGTCCTCTTATTGACACACTCTAATCAGCCAATCAGGGAGCGAGAATTTACACTAGTGTGGTCAAAAATAATCTTTTTCTCTGTTGGCAGGAAACTACATAAGCATAAGTAAAGCAACACCATCAATAGAACTACTCGTAAGTCCAATTGTTCCCAGTACCCTCAGGTGCATCAGATTTTGGTACTATCTGTCCTTCTCCAAAACCTACGGTAGTGAAATCAGCGTTCATGTAATACGTTACCGAGCAAAGAGGGTCACGATATGGAGGAATGCTGCTGAAATAAACAAGTGGCAATATGTACAGTTACCGCTGACTCACGACACCGACGTTCGGGTAGGTTGATGCGCGCGACGCAAGCCAACGAGAATTTGTGAAAGGCTAAGCAGCACTTTTGTATTTTATTAAAACACGTAGAAATCACTAGCTTCGAGAAGCTTCGAGAAGCTTCGATCAATGTATGCTGTATTAATGAAAACGTAAGCACAGCTCTCGGAGAGCTTCTAGGGAAAGATCATTGAACACGTGAAAGAATAGATAGATTTAAGGAGTAAATAATTGAAACTGTCAACAGATCATAATTGAAGGGAAAAGAACGTCTATTACAGCCAATTTACTTCTGGATGATATCACATTCGACTCAGGTCTATGCAGTCAAATCCCACCTACAGGTAAAGATGGATTTATGATTTTTGAACACAAAAATATGTACAAAAATTAACCCTGGGTATCATAGAAAATTTGATTGAAAGCTGTTCGTTTTATTTACTACTAGACGAAAATAGCGGGTCAACAGTAGCCGGGATTTTAAAAATGAATGTGCCCCCGACAACCGGGGGAAATGTCTTATTTTAACACCATTCAAACGTTAATATAAATTCCCCGGTATTTCCCGGGGGACGGGGGTCGGGGGGTTCATTTGACTAGTGAATAACCGTGCCGTGACGTCTCGAGGTGGTCATGTCTTCTTGATGTATCGTTATTTTCATTTGGCGTCACTACCAGGCGTATGTTGTGTCGTGTCCTTGCCGTGATCCGTACATTTGCACAGTCATACGAAATCTCCTTTAGGCCACTATTAACCCATGACTTTTAGCGTGAATTCCAAGTYATCCAAACGGGCGTAAGTCACAGAATCACAGTGAAGCAGMAAGGTAATAAATTTGGACAGATTCGAACAGTTTTATAAGCTTTTAAATGTGTCTTTTAGAAAAGGAAACTCAGTCATTTGGAGCAACACGGCACTGGAAATTGGACGGAACTGACAGTGATCTCAGGTAATTTAGTTAAGTAATTTATGAGGACAAGAACCATGTGTATTGATATCACTTTTAATAGCTAAAAAATGTTATAAGTCATTCTGTGTCGGTATATCAATATTTTATATTTTTTGTGGCTATCGTTTTGAAAGTGGCTCAAGTCACTATGCTGAACTGCTTGTTATCGATGAGGCTTTGAGTGGTTCGGGATGCAACCTCCAGTTGCCAGGAGCTTTATCCCTTCGCATGGGGTCAGGTCATGTCAGGAAAAGGGCCTGGGAACGAGGTTGGTTCGGGGTGCAATCGGATTTCACCGTTTATTTTCCGATATCTCTGTCCATATCTTACGAATGCGTTCGGATTTTTCCATCACGCAGAACGTTTGGCGTTATATCATATCACGAAGATAACGGACACCGCGTGGCTTACTTCAACGGGATTAGCGGGTACTTCGACAGTCCTGCTCTCGACCTTCATTCTAGAAACTTCTCTGTAGTGGGTTGGTTCAAYGTTCGGGATCGTAAACGAATGAATCACATCTACTCTGATTGGTCCTATCCCCACCAGTTTCGCTTTTATGTACATTCGGACAGGTTTGTTGCTGAGCTCCGAGGAGAGACAAAGACAATTGTTGTGGTGTCCAAGTAAGTAACAAGTTTTGATCTTCGATATGTAGATTTTGCAAAGTTCATACCAAAATGGCGGACTTTTTTTATCAAAAGTATTCTCAATTTCGTAAAAAACAGCTTTGGAATCCAGAATCCGTATTTTTTGGAATCCGAAATCTCAAGGCTTGGATCCAATGTTCGGATCAAATGTTTCGGAATCTGGAATCCAGCGCTTGGAATCTGGAATCCGGAATTCTCTGGATTCTCTTACATGAGGCGAATTGTGTATGAGCAATCTATACAAAATATTGCGAAATCAGGCAAGTAACGGGACTATGTTAGTTCGTCTGTTGGGATTCGAAAAAACAAGAATATTCAGCTTGGAATTTAAAGCACTGAAGCTGAATTAAGTGAAAAATTTTGAACCTCGCATAACTAACTTAATCTGCACACGAACACGTCGTGCGATATCGCCTTATCTTTTTAAATTAATGTGAAACGATGTCACGTCCAATGTTCTTTATACATAAACAGCAACAGTGATGGAATCAGTTGTATGATATCTAATAACGCGTTTACCATCCATGAAATCATGTTTATAGTACCATCTTTGCCAAGGAATGGACTATGTTTGGGTTTACTTGGAGTCCCATAACAAAAGTAGCAAAGCTGTACTTAAATGGTAAAATGGTCCGAAAATACACATCTAAGTAAGTACAAACAAATGAACTGTCACGCSCTCGCTGTTCTGTACACCTGGTCAGTTTCTGGCAGATGACTTGTACAGGATAGTACCATTTGACCAAATGCTGCTACTTGCCTAAGTAACGGTTATGGCTCTACGATGCGTTTCCTTAACGTGTGTTCAAAAACGAAAACGCATTAGGGCAKATTTCAACCAATGAAGTAAGTGGAATTGGCGAAAAAAGCACTTTAAAAGAGGTTTTGATTTGCTTTTCGTCCACCGCACCACTGCCTTTCCGTCTTCATACTGATTTTCCACTTACTTCACTAGTAAAAAGCTACAAGCGCTTTTAAAAAGGATTGAGGATTGTTATAAAACGCAAAATATTGCCATGYTAACACGTACGTTATGTTCTTTTACATTGCCTTTTCCCAGTAGCCCTCGCTCAAGTCTGTTTTACTGTAATCAAACATACCCCTGTTGATGTTGACAACATTGTCATTGTGGAGGCAAGAAGGGGATGGGACTACACCGCGATGCACTGAATGTGGCGTTAATTCCCCACCTTCATGTCCGCGGTTAACGAGGTCAAACACCACTAACTGGACATTTTTTCTCCTTAATAGGCTCGCCGTTGATCAGTTAAAACTCAGATCAACCAACGATGCTTTTTACGAAATTGGTAATAAACTTGATTCGGACGTAAAATATCATGGATGCATGAGGGACTTAATGGTTTTCTATCGTCAATTGACTGCCTATGACATCATGTCTATATATAGTAAGTATGACATCATGTCTATATATAGTAAGTATGACATCATGTCTATATAT